ATAATTCCACCGGCATACCCCTACTGGTCTACTTCCTCCAGCCACACTGTATCTGCCTTCAATAACCACCCATTAATCCATTCAGATTATCAATCTATCAAATGGATTAATCCACCAATCTGGTTACAACTCTTATACTCTTAAAACAATTTTGCCTCTGAACATTAATACATTTTCTTACACATGAACTTTTGGCAAGACACCTCATATTTATACCATTAAATTCTGCCCCTGGCCTCCGAAAGCTCATGCCTATCTCACAATGCAAAATACATTTAATTCATTTCCAAAACACTCTATCGTCTCCTATGTTGCCTTTTTATTTTGTTGACTGCTGTGCAGCATTACTCAGAAGACCGAGTCCAAAATCTCATCTGAGACTCAAGGCAAACTCTTTATCTGTGAGCCTCTATAAAGATCAAAAGCAGGTTACATATGATGGCACGAAGTACTTCCATTCCAAAAGGGAGAAGTAGGGACATGGAAAGAAGATGAGACCAAAGCAAGAACTAAGTCCACCTGGGCTAACAAGTCCTGTAGCTTAGGTCCAGCATCAAGGGGACATGGCATCATGATGTTTTCTCCAAAGGGCTTGTGTGGTTCTGCCCCCATAATATTGCTGGTTATAGCCCACATGGCATTTCTCTTGGTTTGTTTCTGCTTGATTTCTGCAGCTTTGGCTTTCTTCTTACATCTTCATGCATTGCCTTCTCAGGGATTCCAACTCTGCTTTACTTTGCCTGGTTTCCCAGGTCTTCCTTTGACATTTTGGTGGAAGCCTCCAAGACCCCGTGACTCCATCATTCTGCATTCATGCAGAACCAGCACCACATGGATGACACCAAGTTTTGCTGCCATGTTGAACAGTAGCCAAGCCTTCTGGCACCGTGGCTATAGTGGCCTGTGAGTGGCTGAGCATGGTGAAACAACTTTTTAGGCCACCCCTTGTGCAAGCAGGGTGCTCTCATTGTCTGGTCTCAAAGGAGTTTTTATTTTTACACCCTTGAGCCTGTGATAGATGTGGCCTTGCCAATTCCCAGTATGCCTTCAAGCTGTCTTTTCTATTGTCTGGCTGTGTGAAGTATTTAGCATTTCTTCAGTAGTTGTAAATTCTTCAACAACCACACTTCCTTGATCCCAGTTTTACTCACAATTTTCTGGCCAAATTGCAAGTTTTTCAGATCTTTCTGCTTTGCTTTCTGCTGCTGATTATCACTGTAAACTTGGCTAAAGGGCATCAGCAGTGTCCATACCAGTGCCTGAGTGGTCCATTCAGCCTTTGCATTTAACCTCATGCTAAGTCTCAGGATATGGGCAAAATGTAGACAGCTATTTTTGCCAAAAGTTACATGAATGACCTCTAGTCAATGACCTCTAGTTCTCTAAACTTGAGGACTCAATTTTAATAGAGTCCTCCTTCCCCTCTGAAACTTGAGCCAAATCTTTACTGTCAGCATTCCTATTGACATTCTGGTCTTCTGAGATCCCATCAGTCTCACCCATCAAGCTCTGCTTACAACATTCTAAGGCTTCTGCATCCTGCATCTCCAAACTTTTCCAAAATCCCCCTGCAAACCAGTTCCAAATACTTATGGACCACATGGTCAGGTTAGTCACAGAAATGGCCCCACTCCTAGAACCAAATTCTTGTTTTAGTCAGTTTTGGGTCATTGTGACCAAAACCCCAAAAAAGATGAGGAAAAGTTTATTTTGGGTCATGGGTTCAAAGGTTAATTCCATGGCTGGCCAACTCCATAGCTCTGGGCCCAGTGTAAAGCAGAACATAATGGCAGGAGGGCCTGGCAGAGGAAAGCTACTCAGTTCATGACAGCCAGGAAGCAGAGAAAGAAAATAAGTACAAGGAGCAGAGGATAATATAATCTCCAAAGGCATGCTGCCAGTGACTTTCTTCCTTTAGCTGTACCCTGTCTGCCTAAAGTTACCACCCATTAATCCATTTAAACTATTAACTCATCAAATGGATTAATCCATGGATGAGGTTACAGCTCTCATAATGTAATCATTTTACCTCTGAACACTACTGCACTGTTTTACACATTTCATATCCAAATCATAACAGTGGGTATGTAAATTGGGATAGCCATTATATAAAACAGTATGGGGGTTCCTCCTCAGAAAAATTAAAAATTACCAGCAATCTCACTTCTAAGTGTATATCCAAAGGAAATAAAATTAGTATCTTGATGCCTGTACTTCCATGTTCATTGCAGCAATGTCTCAATAGTAAAGATATGAAAATAAAATCTGATGTTTCTGTATATCTTGGAGTATTATTCGACCTTAAAAAGGAAATTCTGCCATTTTAGATAACATTGATGAACCTAGAGGACACAGGTTAATTGAGAAATGCCAGATACAGGAAAATGTTGCCCAGTCTCCACTTAGATAAAATTTAAAATAGTTGAACTCATAAGCAGAGTAGATTGGTAGTTGTTTGAGGTTGAGGATTGGAGAAATGAGAGATGTTGGTCAAATGGTACAAAATTTCAGTTATGTAGGATGAATAAATTCTGAAGATCTAATGTGCAGCCTGGTGACAGACTATATTGTATCTTTGAAATTTGGTAAGGTAGCTGCCATTGCAACCATATCCCTTAAAAGGCAACTTTTGCAAGTGGTAGCATGTTTAAAATGAAATTATATGAAATGTAACTTTCATTGCTCATAAATTTTTATTGAGATAGGCACATTCATTTGTTTATATATTACCCATGGCTGCTTTCACACTGCAAAAGATAAATTGAACATTTGCAACAGAAACTGTATATGGCCCTCAAATCCAAAAATACTATTTGGCCCTTTACAGAGAATGTTTGCTGATTCCTGGTATAGATGATTTTTTAATATCACTTTGAGCTTCAGAAGGACAAAGTGATGAAAAGTTCCAAACCTTTGAAAAATCTGCCTTTTGATGACTTTTGTTGATTTGCAAAATTTTATGCATTATCTCTTTAGATACTGCTTCTGCCTCAGCCTAGTTCTTCTTTCCTTTTGGGACCCCAATTATGTGCAGAGGTATTTTTCATTATCACTTGTCTCTAGTGGAAAGGTCGCCTCAAATTCCACCTCGTTTTTTTGTGTTTACTTTTTCTGGTCTTGACCTCTAATTGTTCAGTTTTCTTAGCTCTCAATGTTTTCAGACACATTAAAAACAAAAATAACCAACAAAACCTTGTTAGCTTTGATAATTGTTCTCTATATGGTCCAAATTGTATAGTCCACTATTATTGAAAGTAGAGTCTATTTCCAAATATTTAAATACATTTTCCCCCATAATATGAGTTACTTTTATAGCTAATGTCACTTATCTTGAAAGGTCAGATTAGATTTGTTCATTATTTTGAAAATATCTGCCAGATAGTCTTCAGTTCACAGCTACTTATCCTGGAAAATTTTGGCAAATCTGAAACAATTATTTTTAAAAAGAAAATGTTCAGCTCATTTAGTTATTAAGGACCTTGCCAAGAAATCAGCATAATGGTGCATGGAATATTTTTGTGGTTAATTTCATTTCATATAAATCATTGATAGTGAAGATTCTTATATTTAAACTAATGTGATTTATGAGTTCATAGGCACACACAAACCACAACTCTTTACAGTACTGTAAGAGCAAGTGGATGAATGGGATCACCATTGTAGGGAACTTCCACTCTTTGACCCAGCATTTGGCAGACCTAGTGAGGTGCAGTTTCAAACTACTTTATTTACTAAATGTCTTTAAACCTCCTTACCTTCTGTCTTTCCCTTAGAGAAAGTATAAGTAGAAACTCTGAAATATAAATTCTTATATTACAGGGAACTATAGAATCCCATATTTTTCTAATCTTCCTGAATCCTGAGAATCATTCCATACAACAGCATAATTTTTAAAATATTTTTTTGTTGTTGTTGATAGACCTTTATTTTATTTATTTATATGCAGTGCTGAGAATTGAACCCAGTGCCTCACACATGCCAGGCAAGTGTGCTACAGCTGAGCCACAGCCCCAGCCCCATGGCAGCATAATTTTTAATTGAGACCATGTCATACCTCTTCTTAAAATAAAAAAAGCCTTCGTTTTACACTTAAAAATAAAATCTGGAATTCTTGCCCTGATGTTTGATTATTAGAATGTAAGCTCTCTAAGAGCAGGGACCTTGTCTCTCTTCCCATTGTATTATCAGCACTAGAATGGTACCTCACAAAGAGATGTCATGAATAAATGCTCAATAAGTAAATATTGTATGTGTGGAAAGGAATTAAATACCTAGAGTTTCATATTTTCTGATTTTCCCTTTTTAGGTTGCTCTGTACAAAATTTTCACTTAGTACTATTTTGTGAATGTTTTTATTGGAAGTTCTGAGGCTTCTCAATTGTCATCCCTATAAACTACAATATTATTGATGCATTAATATTTTTGTCCCTTATCTTTGCTATGATTAATAATATGAATATATATACATGTATGTATACACACTTATACATACACACATATATACATATCATGATCAAATTATAAACACCTAACTGCAAGGAAGTTGGCTTTGACCTGTGAGCCATTATCTTTTTTTTCATCAAAGTCACAATCCTTATAAAAGCATTATCAGAATGATTGAACTCAACTTGGCTGCCTCAGTGGTAATAGGTACTAAATGGAGTGTACCTGTTTTTAGTTCCTAATAATTTGTCTCATGTCAACTGCTGTTTTGGTAGTTGATATTGAATTCTTAGTTTCAGGGTAAATTTTGGCAGTATGCATTTGCTTCAATTATAGATGCTTGGCAGTTGGCTTTTTTAGATTTTTTTTAATAGATGGACACAGTATCTTTATTTTGTTTATTTATTGTTATATGGTGCTGAGGATCGAACCCAGTGCATCACATGTGTGAGACAAGTGCTCTGCTACCGAGCTACAACCCCAGCGCTTGTCAATTGATTTTTTAAAACAAATGTTAAATCCTTTGTTTCCAAAATTTGAGATATTAACTTTTTCAGGAAGCTCACAAGATGGTGAGAGAAGCAAATGTCAAGCAGGCAACAGCAGAAAAACAGCTGAAAGAAGCACAAGGGAAAGTAAGTTTTTATGGCTTTTAATAGAATGAAATTTAAAGAAATTACTAATAATCATTTTAAGGATACATTAATACTGATTAGATTTTTGTTCTGGTTGTAAAAGTAGTACTTATTCTAGCTTTGAAAGCTATAGAAAAATGTAAAGAAGAAAATAGTTGCTACCTAGATATAATTAATAGTGAACATTGGTGTCCATTTATATTAGAACCAAATGATTTAAAGCCTTGTAAATCACATCTTAAAGTGAACATTTATTTTCTTAGCTTACTGAAAAGCCACATAAATGTTAGATGTTACTATTTTAGTAAGATCTATTTTTTACTATTAAAATTATTAAAATCTACTATTTTAGGAGTGAACTACAACTGATCATGAGTTATTAAATTTTGAAGATTTCAAAAGTTTATATACATTAAATATTTTGTTTTTGATCATTTTGATGACTAGTAATTGTATTCAGACCTTGTAGAAACATCAAAAAACTTGGATATACTTTCATTTTATTACTCCACAGGAAAGACAAATTAGACTTATTTTCCATCTTTGAAAGTGTCTTGAGCAAATTGCTAGCATTTGGCTACATATGTCATAAAACATATTTAGTGTGTATTACTGTTGATTTCTCTTCAAGATTGATGTACTTCAAGCAGAAGTAGCTGCGTTGAAGACACTCGTGTTGTCCAGTTCTCCAACGTCACCCACACAAGAGCCTCTGCCAGGTGGAAAGACACCTTTTAAAAAGGGGCATACAAGAAATAAAAGTACAAGCAGTGCTATGAGTGGCAGTCATCAGGACCTCAGTGTGATACAGCCAATTGTAAAAGACTGCAAAGAGGTAACTGGTCAAGGACTGTCCCCTCTGACTCTATTGATACTTGTTAATTCTCATCACTGAGGTCAGTTATGATTTTTGCCAGCAAAACTTTTAGTACAAAATATGCAATATTAAGATGGGGGAGGCTTTATCTAGAGCTGGCTGCTTTCAGGGATTCTTCACTTCCATTTTCTACTTGACTGCCCTTGGAGTACCTGCTGGAAACTTGGTAAGTTTCTTAATCTCAATTTTTCATTTAGGGAACAAACTGTCTTGTGTTATATAAAGGAGAGTGGGTGGCTTTAGTAACCTAGTTCTTAGGTTACTAAAATGTATTGCTAGAATGCTCTTGTAAATTACAAATATAAGAAATATGTGAAAATAAAACAAGGTGTTTTTGGTTTTTTTTTTTTCAATGTTGGGGATTGGACCCAGGGTCTAGTGCATGCTAGGCAAATGCTCTACCACTGACCTTCATACCTAGCTTTAAGGTGATTTTCTTAAAAATTAGTGTATTGCTTTTATTTAATTCTGAGAAAAGTAGAATTTTTTATTATTAAGAGATTCTTAGAGTTAATTCAGATACTTAAGCAACAAAAAATAGAAATAATGGCAGCTTTATCATTTTAGAAGACATGTTATAAAGATAACTGAGTTAGTGTGCTAATGTTTTGAATACTTAAGAGTAAAAATTATGTTATTATAAAATATTTTTAATTTTATCATTGCAAACGATGGCAAAGCATTTCCCAGGGGATTCATCAATAATTCATGGAGCACCACTTCCTTGTGTTTTCTTTTCTTTCTTTTTTTTTTTTTTTCAGTTGTAGTTGGACACAATACCTTTTTTAAAATTTATTTTTATGTAATGCTGAGGATCGAACCCAGTGCCCCACACACTCTAGACAAGTACTCTACTACTGAGCTACAACCCCAGTCCCATCCCTGTTTTTTTTCCTCAAGAGCTATATTTTACATTGTTGAATTCAAATCCATCATAATCTCGAAGAAGCTATTTATAATTTTTAAGTTAAATTTTTTCATGGAAGCCAGGAATTTATTAAATTATCTTAATTGAATTGCATTTTGTTTTGTTATTAATGAAAATGCTAATTAGAAATACTTGGTCAAATCTGGATGTTACAAAATATAAAATATACATTGCTTTCTTTGAAATATTTAACAAACATTTTTAGTCATAACTTTAATTTTGATTTCTTTGAACTTAAATAGCATTTTTAATGGCTTGTTCCCACTTGCATTTTTGCTATAGTTTCTCACTCATGTGTAATTTTGTTCTTTTCCCCTGTGTTTATACTGACAAAATTTAGATGTTTTCTCATGGAATATTTTAAAGGTTTGTTTTTTGGTTTTTGAAATTCCTTAAAATAAGAATAGGCAGCATATAACTTCAAAATAATAGCTTTTTGCTTTTTAGGTATTATCTTATATTCTGATGTGTTATGAAAAATGTCAAAAAGTTTTAATAAGACAAAAAATTGGCCTAATGTAACTCTTAGATCAGATGTGACTATCTCAAACAAAATATGCCTGTGATTCTGTAGAAAACCTGATGGGACATGCAGTCATGTTATTAGCAACCTATCTTCTGAAAGCCTTTAAAACTCATTTATGCATGCAGACACACACTCAAGGCAGTCTTTAAGATCATACTGCTCAGATTTTTTGAGTGTAGACTTTACTATTTTCTTACTGTATAGCCTTGGGCAAGTTACTTTATTTAAGTCATAACTTCCTTATCTATAAAATGGTGATTGTAATAGTTGTCTCACACAGTTCTGTGGATTAAATGTTTATAAAATGCTTACCATAGTTGTTGCAAGAGTCAGCTTTTAAGAAATGGTTTAAATTACTGCCTTTACATTAGACTCTTTCCTTAGAATACCATATCTGCCTTGGGGTTTATGTTCATTTTTTTAATAAACTTACAAAGAAAATGAATATGAAAACATTAAGTATTTATCTGCTAATATTGTTTATCCTTTTGCCTTTAATTTGATTCAAGGAATTTATGAATTGGGATGAAAAAATTCACATTGAGATTGTCATTATACATCTTAAAAGAAAGTCTGTAGTAAAGCTTGGATACCCTCAGCCTTTTGTTACTTTCACATAAAGAAACTGCACCTCTGATTAAGCTACTTAGAAGCCAGCCACAACTGTAGTCCCATGTGTCATACATAGGGTATTAAGTGCATCTGGAGAAGAGTGGCTTAGGATTGTAAAAGAACAAGGGAGACACTTCTCTTTGGGTGGCTGGTGTAGGTGTAGCTTTGTCTTCCAGCACATGGTGTTGAATAGGTAAGTAGAGGGAATATTAGGATCTGCAGGGAAGAATACTTGGGGAAATTTTGTTATAGGGAGAAGGGAAAGAAGAGGAATAGCTAAAGAAGTGGTTAGGAAAATGAGTACCAGAAGTGGATTATTCTCAGTAATTCATATGGTAATTACTAGATGTTGATGTACCAGAAATATCTAAACATATTTTAAGATAGTCAATTTAGCAGCCTAATGTGTGCTTCTTTTTGTCTTTTTGCTAATACAATGAACATTTTGGCAATTCTTCTAGAAATATTTTCAGGTAATAGCAGAGCAATTAGTGTCATTTTTTACCCCATATTAAGTTTCACAGTTTAGTCTCAGTTTGAGCAGTTTACTTCGTTAACTTGGCTCCACTTTATCATTGTTTTCAGAAAAGACTTACCCATTTTTATATTAAAACAGTGTGCACCTTTGTCTTAAGAACAGCTCCAATGTTAATTTTGGGGGACCAGAGTTGAGGAAAAAGGTAGAATCATTGGATACCATAGTGGATACATTAAAAAGGGTCAGTCAGTCATTTCAGAGTCATTTTTTTTTTTCTTAAAGAAAAATTGCTAACATGTTTTAAAACGAATCAGGGATATTTCAGTTCATTATTTTAAATGAGCGTTTACTTTTCAGTAATGTTTAAATTAGATTTTTGTTTTATAAAATGGTTTTGTGTTTGTTCTTTTTATAAAGTTGTTTTGTGCTTTCTTTTGGTTTGTTAGGCTGATTTATCTCTGTATAACGAATTCAGATCTTGGAAGGATGAGCCCACAATGGACAGAACATGTCCTTTCTTAGACAAAATCTATCAGGAAGATATCTTTCCATGTTTAACATTCTCAAAAAGTGAGGTAATTTTTTTTTCTTTTTTGTAGGAATGCATTAAAGTTGTTTCTGTTCTTTTTACTAAGTCATGTTACATATTTTCATATTTCTTACATTAGTAAGTTATTATAAAATGTTATGTTTTGCCATTTTTTCCATTCCATATTAGAGTCATAGTTGTTGGCATTCAGTTACTGAACATCTTTTCTTCTTTGAGCAGAGGATCATTCACACTGAAGTGTGTGTTGCACTGAAGTGAAGTGTAAATACATTTAGGGAGGAGGGCTTATTTCTTGATCGGCAGTTCCAGGTTTAGTGTAAGGGAAGTTCTCTATACAATCTTGTTAAAAGTTTTGTATGTGATAAAAATCCATGTTTAGTTTCTGCATCTTTTTAAACAGGAAAAATAACGCCTTCTTTGCCTTTGCCACAGGGTTAAGAGAAAGAAGTGAAGTAGATTATATATAAAAACTTTTTAAAAATACAAGTCATATACAAATGTAAAGTCATAATTTTACTTTGTTCTTCCATATAAAAGGTTTGTCTTCAGATATTCTGTAAATTAATGTTTAAGAAATTTAATCCTAAGAGTTTTGAATTAAGTCTTTTAAGGATTTAGTTATAACATTACTTTTAAGGAGAACTTAATATGAACATTGTAACACTTTTGATATGAATATGTGTTTATTATAGCTCTGTAGCTGGTTTCAAATAGGCCATTCAGTATTAGTTATCTTGCTAAGCTGAAGAAGCTTGCTTTTTTGTGTGTGTGTGTGTGTGATGGTGGGGATTGAACCAGGCTTTATTTAGGTTGTCAAAATGCTCTGCCACTGAGCTCCATCCTCAGCCCCCAGAAATTTACCTTTGTTACCTACTAATCAGTTGTTACCTTCTCCATCTGGAGACTTAATATTTGATAATGCAATTATTTTTTGCAGTCTTTTATAAATATAAATACATATTGAGAAAATATATTGTCTAAAATTAGTATATGTTGCTGTGTTATAAATGACATGTATGTAAATTAGCAGAAGAAAGCATTAGGATATTCATTCTGAAATGGCATTTACAGTGGGGGTTAATTGTAGGTAAGAAGTGAACAGAGACTGGAATTAATACCTTAGATAATGAAAAAAGTTACTTCACTACAACTAAATTGCCTTTCATAACAGTATCTGAATTATAAAAGAAGTTAAATCGAGACTATGTAATTTTTTTTTTTCCTTTTTGTTAGGTAAGGCCAAGTTAGTGAAACTTGGGGAAAGATTAATTCATAAAATTAGTTAACCATAGAATATAATTTGGTGCTTTTCTGCCAGCATGGCATCTAATACTTTTATTTTTTTTTAAGTTGGCTTCAGCTGTTCTGGAGGCTGTGGAAAACAATACTCTAAGCATTGAACCAGTGGGATTACAACCTATTCGATTTGTGAAAGCTTCTGCTGTGGAATGTGGAGGACCAAAGTAGGTTTTCACATTTGTAGCTTGTAAAAATAATGAATTTTTGTGTGTGTGCATTTGTTTAGTTTTTTAGTTTTAATTGTGGTTACATCTCCTTGGGTTTCTATTCAGAGCCCAAAAACAGATTCCCGGACAGTGTGGGAGATAACATTTCAAATTTAGCATCAAGAGAGTCTTTTAAATTACAAAAATATACATATATGATAGGGATCCAGGTAGACTAATGATTAGAAACATGGTTTTTGTTTTTTTAACCCCATGTTGTGACCCATTTAGTGGATTGTAGGCAGATTTTTATTTGTTATACTTGTGTATAGCTGTGTACACTGGGTGTCTGTGTGAAATATTTCTGAGGATTACCATAAAAATAATTTGAGGAGATACTGAATTAGACCAAGTCTTATCAATAAAAACAGGGTGCCAAAGAAATTGGTTCAATCCTCACCTTGCATATTGCTAACATAAAGTGTTCTCACTTTTGTAAATAATCAGTTCTGTCTTTCATGTGTGAAAAGTATTTGGGATTTACATGTGTGTGTGTGTAAGTATGTTTTTTTGTGGTGTTGGGGATTGAACCCTGGGTCTTCTTGCACCTGGTGGACATGCACTCTACCTCTATCCCCAGCCTGCTGTTTGGGGTCAGAGGTAAGACTGCCATATTTCATAGCAAGGCAAGCTGTTTTCGTCCAATCCCATGAGTAGGAAAGATTAAAACCAGTTTTTAGATAGTGCTGGTTTTAGATAAAGGTAAATGTTTGGCCTAAAACCAACACTGAATTGTACCCTGTTTTATGTTTTAAAAATGACTTGGAAAACTTTTGAGGAAGGTACTTAGTTAGTATATAAAAAGCAGATCAATATGGGAGACTGGAAAGCCCAACAGAGCTTGTAGAAAGCAATAATTGACTTTCCTCAGGATTATTGTGAAGTCAGAAGATGAAAAGACTGGTTGAAATTAACTAATAAGTCTGTTAAAATCTGTTGTAAAAGTTCTGTTCTTCCATTTCTCACGATGTGCATACATTCTCAGCAAGCTTAGAGAATGATTGTATTCATGTGACTGTTTGTGGAGTCTGTCTGTGAGCCACACATCTACCCAGAGTCTGTCCTGTGTCACACTCCCCTTGTGACACACCTCTAGCACAGTGGCCCCTGAATCATAGGAAAGGATTTAAATTCTACAAACACCCAAGTATTTTTAACTTAGTCCTTCAACCCCTCAATTGAAGAATCAAATTTTGTGATAGCATTTCTTATACTTTGAAGCTCTATGTCATACTTTATTTTAAATATAGCATATAATAGTTTTTATTGTATAATTTAAATTTTGTGTCTATGATATATCACACATATAATACATTTGCAAATACCATCGAATGATGACAAATAGGGGTATTAGTGAAAATGAATTTATAGTGTTTTAGTAAAACAGTTACATACTTAGAGAACAGTTTGCCAGTTTAAGGATACTGTGCTTGTTGGCATGAGCTCAGAAGCCAAGGAGTTTGTAGGATATATCATGTGGAAAAACTGAAGGAAGAGGTCTTTTTATTATTTTTTAAAATATTTTTTTAGTTGTAGATGGACACAATACCTTTATTTATTTTTATGTGGTGCTGAGGATCGAACCCAGTGTCTCACACTTGTAGGCAAGCCATTTACCATTGTACTACAGCCCAGCCCTTTTTATTTATTTATTTGTTGGTATGAGGGATTGAACCCAGGGACACTTAACCACTGAGCCACATTCCCAGCCTGTTTTTATTTTTTTGAGACAGGTTCTCAGTAAGTTGCTAGGGCCTTGCCAAGTAAGTTGCTGAAGCTTGTGATCCTCCAAGTAAGTTGCTGAACCTTCTGATCCTCCTGCCTCAGCCTCCTGAGCCTCTGGGATTACAGGTGTGTGCCACCACACCTGACATATTGTCTTTTTAAAATGAAATGTAAACTGTGGCCTTTACCAAGATTCTTGTGGTCTGGTTATGAAGATAGTGACTAAATAAATGTCATAGTGCTATAGGAATTTTGAGGAAGGCAAGATTATTCCAAATGTGATCAGGGACTCTTGAAGGGAGGAAGATTTGATCTGTTTTTATATCTATTCCCAGAAGAATAGTGTATATAAAAATAATTTTTATCAGCTTGATGCTACTTTTTCTTCTTGGGTAAATTATAATTACAAGAACTTCTAACACTGGAATCTTAAATTTATTGACCTTTTATTCTCCCCAAGTTAGTAATTAATACTTTGAAATAGTTATAAGTCATTAAAACAATTTGCTAATAAAGGAACAATGGAGACAAAATCCTTAAAAAGATCAAAAGTGTTTTGTGATTTTCATAGCCACCTCCAAAATTATCCTGTTCCAAATAACAACAAATTCCTCAGGGTGTTTCCTTACTATGGAGGTACATTTGTATTATGTTTCTTATAGAGCTGATATTTAATGTTTATATAATACATTTTTCTTTATTATTATATAACTTACAATGTCATATAAAATGCCATTTACCACTTTATTTTACTTAGAACAGTGTTAAATTTTTTTAAAAATACCTTTATTTTCATTTATTTATTTATTTATTTAATGTGGTGCTGAGGATCGAACACAGGGCCTTAGGCATGCGAGGCGAGTGCTCTACCACTGAGCTACAACCCTAGCCCCATGCAGTGTTAATTTTATATTGATAAGAGTAATAGTTGTATTTAGCCAAATTCTTAGCTTCCTAGGGTGGCAAGTCTAGCCTGATAAGCAAGTGAGCTTCATCTCATGGAGCAGTAGTGACAAGTGGCTCATTACTGATGCATCAGTCACTGAATGTCAGCTGTGTGCCAGGCACTTAAAGATGAATGAGACACTGTCTCTGTCCTCAAGAGGCTTACAGCCTCATCCCTGACAGGGAAGTCCTTGTGCCAAATAGGAAAGATGGTACAAAATGCAGTGTGCTGTTTATATGTGTGTTAAGATTCAGTATGTTTGTAATGTGGCTTAGTCCTTTCTACTTCTGCATTAAGTGCATATAAGCCAACCAATCAAACAAGGAAAAAAAAAAAAAAAAAGTACCTCATCCAGAAGTTGTTACCCTGCAAGCTATTGAGAACAGGGTTTGGGGGGTTTTTGTTTGTTTGTACAAGACAGGGTTTTGCTACATTGTTGAGACTGGCTTCTTTGAATTTGTGATCCTCCTACTTCAGCCTCCCAAGCTGCCCGGTTTACAGGTGTGCAACACCCTGCCCAGCAAGAACAGGTTTTGAGACTTGAACAGTCATCATTAAGTTCTCAGCTGAGAAGTTGAAGTCCTTGTACTAAGCTGAGCACTGTCCTAGGGCTGATTACTTATTTTAAATTTGTTCTAGGATAGGACATATCACACAGAAATATTTGGTTTCTGGTTCTAGAAGCATTTAGTGTTATGGTATTAAGCATATATTAGAATATAAACTCCTTAAGGACACAGATTTTGTTCTTTTCATCACTATAGCCCAGCATTCAGAAAAGGGTTTGTTACATAGTAAGTTCTCAAGTATTTGTTGTTTACTGAGTGAATATATAACTTATATTAAGGGCAGGAGCAAAATGCTTTTAATTTTAAAAAGTGATATTTATTATTTTACAGAAAATGTGCTCTCACTGGCCAGAGTAAGTCTTGTAAACACAGAATTAAGCTAGGGGACTCAAGCAACTATTATTACATTTCTCCTTTTTGCAGATATAGGGTAAGTGACTTAACCACAGTTTATTAATAAAATTCACTTTGATGCATGGCAATTGACTCATGACATTTTTTCCCTTTCTGCCTAGATCACTTCTGTATGTAATTTTTTCACATACATTCGATATATTCAGCAGGGACTCGTGAAACAGCAGGATGGTGAGTGTTCTTAATTTGCTGTAAGTATGTATATGAAGGTTTAGCAAAATGTATGACAAGTAATATTCAAAAAAACTTTATTGTTTTTACATTTATATTGAATCCCTTTTGTAGTTCTAATGAAATGTGTAGATAATTTGGGAATAAATCTCTCTTTAAAATATATATATATATATATATATATATATATATATATATATATATATATTTAGTTGTAGATGTTTGTTTATTTTATGTGGTGCTGAGGATCGAACCCAGTGCCTCACACGTGCAGAGCGTGTATTCTACCACTGAGCTACAACCCAAGCCCCAAAAATGTCTCTTTTTAAAAATAAAATATTCAGTCTCTTTATTTGCCTCATTTTACACTCTTGAATTTTAAGCCAGTCCAGTTTTAATTTGTAAGGTATATGCGATCAATCAAGTGGTAAATGTTGAGGAGAGTACAAAGATTATTAAATTTGATTCTTAAGAGATGAAAATGAGAAAGCTCTAAAAGTGGTCAGATTTGTTTAAAACAATTGTTGGAAGCCACGAAGGAGCTCACGGTAAATTTTTTCTGTATTTTCTACTTTCACGTGTGAATTAATAAAGCAATCATGAGATGATTCTGAATGGAATAGATTGCTACATTCTAAACCAGCAGAAAGTGCACATGATGTTCCAGATGAGCCACCTCATACAAGTGTGTTAATATTTTTAATACAGTCTTCTGTGACTGCTCATGGTTTTATAGTCCAATGTCTTAAATATCAAGCATAAAAACTCATATGGCCTGACAGCTTTGAAGCAGTTTTTCTTGAGCACATGTAGTTTAGGGACAAGTCTATGCCAGTTTTGCATTTGAAATTGTGGGAGATTTTCCCATTTATATATTTTTAGGTACTGAAAATGTCTTTCAGTCACATAAACTAGTGAATCTCAATTCTATAGAAAAAGTAGTCACGCTGGGTGTGGTGGTGCACACCTGAAATCTCAGTGACTCGGGAGGCAGAAGAATCACTAGTTTGAAGCCAGCCTCAGCAAAAAGCAAAGTGCTAAACAACTCACTGAGAACCGTCTCTAAATAAAATACAAAATAGGGCTAGGAACATGGCTCAGTGGTTGAGTGCCCCTGCGTTCAATCCCTGGTACCCCCTCAAAAAAAAAAAAAAAGAAAAAAAATTCATATCAACAAAACTTTAGTCTTTCTCAAACTCTGGTATGTTGGAAAAATTGTATTTATTTAGAATCCCATATAATTGAACTTTAATGCCTAGAAGAATAGGAATGAAACCTGCCCTTAAATAAGCTGAATTTCAAAAGTCTGTGTAACATTAGTCTTTGAGCTGTATAATACTTTTTATGACTTTAAGAACACTGAAATCTTTTTAAATAACTGCTGGATAATATGATTTAAAATGGAGAACAGATGATTTATGTTGTTAAATTGTCAGCATATTTTTTTTCCTTGTTAAAATAAGATTTGTAGGAAAGTCTGAAAGATAATTTACTTTATGAAAATAAGAAGAAAATGACATGAGTTATGGCGGTAAAGGTGATGCCTTCTCTGGTTTCTGTCCTCTTGGACTTCACATATTTGGTACTTGTCATAGACTGTGGGTTTATAGTAAACAAGTATTTTAATTTTAAAATCTGTTTTCTATGCCTTGTATGAAACAAGGATTAATGGCATCTAAGTCTAAGGCAGGGTTTCCTGACCTTGATACTACACCTTGACATACCAGATCTAAAAATTTAAAATGCTCCATGAAATGAAGCATTGGGGCAGATATGGTGCCACAGGAAGAAAATCCTACACCTGACTTCATGCGTTAAGTTGTAGTCACAACACAGGCAAACTAAAAATACTCAAGCTATATGGATAAAGGGGTATGTAAGACATGAGTGAATTCATGTTTAGACTTGGATATCTTCCCCAAGAAACCTTATTTATATGTAAATATTCTCAAATCCAAAAATATCCCAAATCTGAAACACTTCTGGTCACAAACATTTCAGATAAGAGATACTCAGCCTGTGTTGACATTTTGAACTGAATAATCCTTTGTCAAGAAGGGTATGTATTAGTGCATTGTAGAATATTGAACAGTATCCCTGGCTTTACTCACTAGATTCCAGCAGCAGTCCTTAGATGTGACAGTGAAAAATGTATACTGACTTTGCCAAATGTGCCCTGGGGGACAAAGCTCCCCTGGTTGAGAACCACTGATAAATCAATCCCATCTGACATAGACCTTGTATTATTTGAAATACTAAATAGATTTTTCTACTTATAGTGGAAAATTATAAAAGAATATAGAGTTGAAGTTTACAGATAATCCTTTACATTTATTTTTAATTTGAGCCCAACACAGACTTTTCCCTATTATTACAAAGAATGTTACTGAGTTTTCTGGTTTGTATCATTTTCCTTTTTTCTAGTTCACTCTCTGTTAGTGTTAACGAAGACTAAAATGCTAAAATATAGCGTACTAAAGCAAGAAGATCTATAAGTTTAATTATAACTTGAAAAATTGAACATTGAATTATACTCACTTCTGAGGGAACAAAATTGACAGTTACTCAAAACACTGAAGTATATACCTTTTGGGGGCTAAAATAATAGTATTTGAAGTATTTAACAAATAGTTGTGACAAAACATGAATATTACTTTTATTGATAAAACTGGAATGCCCATAAGTATGTGGAGAAGTTTGTGTGAAATATTGAAAGACTGTTTGGGCATTAGGTGTGTCATTAGGAAATGCCCAATTTGCATTGTTACCTAATCTTAAATTTTTAGATGTTTTGTTATGATTTACACAACTGTCTTCTCTGTTTGTATAGTTGATCAGATGTTTTGGGAAATTATGCAGTTGAGAAAAGAGATGTCATTGGCAAAGCTGGGATATTTCAAAGAGGAACTCTAATGCTCTGCGTGGGACCATGCATGAACCTCCCGGAATATCTGAAAAATGGCTGAATATTTTTATGGTTATTTGATATTTATTTCTAAGGAGTGGGCCCAAGACTTTTTCCCCTTATTGCAGATTACACCAAGAAGTACTGTGATTTCTTTTTAACTGACCTATGCTGTTTCTGCTTATTCTTTAGTTGAACACACTATAAAGAATTGCAGGTGTACTAGTGATTGTAATTTATAGCTGCAAAAAAAAAAAAACAATAAATAAATATTAGATTGAATGTTTGTGTTCATATGTGAACAACATGGCAATAAACTTGAAAATTAAAGCAAAGTGGGAAAAAAAATCCTAGGAGAAAAGTTTTGATTAAGAAGAAATCAGAGGGCTGGGGCTGTAACTCATTGGCAGAGCATTTACCTAGCATGCATGAGGGTTTGATCCTTAGCACTGCATAAAAATAAACAAATAAAATAAAGACAATCTGTCCATGTACAACTACAAAAAGTAAATTTTTTAAAAAAGAGGAAATGAGAAACTTGAGCATTGCTATTACTATTAAAGGAAATACTTAAAACTTTACCCACAAGAAAATTCTAGGCCCAGATGATTTTACTAATCTTTAAGGAATGGATTATTCTAATGTAAATTCTCTTCCAGAGAATAAGATTCTCCTATATCAAAAACAATATGACCTTGATAGTAAAACATAGGGATGATGCAAGAAAGAAAAATCATGGGTCCATGTTAGACATGGATATAAATATGCAAATGCCTATAGAATATACCACACTGACCAAGTGGCATTTATTCCAGAAATGCAATGCTGATATATTAGAAAACTGATAAAATCTCATTCACCATATTTGCAGAATAAAATTTGATCAGTAGTTGAAGAAAAACATTTAATAAATCAATGACCACTAATAACAACCAAGTTAAATATAAGTGAGAGAATACTTTTCAACTTGTTAAGGGTATCTACAGAAATCTTATAATAAATATCCTGGGGAGGAAAGTGCTAGAAGCATTCTCTTTAAAATGCACAAGAGAAGGGTAATAATTATCCTCATTTTTTATTTCATATTGTAGTAGAAGTTAGCCACTGCAGTAAGATGAGAAAAATAAAAGTGTGATAATTAGAAAGAATAGAGTAAAAGTATCATTTTCTACAGATGGTGTGATTGTCTGCATAGGAAAGTAAAAAAAGGTGTTCCATCAGATTATTAAGCATTAATTGGAGAGTTTAGTAAGGTAGCTAAACATAAGGTCAATATATAATTGTGATTTACACTTTTATACACCAGCCATAGAAAATTTAAAAAGAAAAGAAAATTAGAAAACTGTTTTTTACAAGATGCCAAACAATTGCAAGAAGAATTCTAAAGTGCCTAGTAATAAATCTAACCAAATATATGCCAGACTTGGTTATAGAAAGTTATAAAACTTATAAAGATAGTAGGAGGATTAAAATGATGTTATGGTTATGAGAAGATATATATAGGATTAGGATGATATATCATTATATCATTTTAATATAAATAAACTGTCAGTTCCCACCAAATTGGTCTATATAGAGATTTGATATGTCTTCCAACTAAATCCCACCATTTCTCCTAGGTTTGACAAACTGATTAAAAAAAAATTTTTTTTTGACAAAGTTAAGGATGAAGAGTGAGCAAGGTATTAATGAAAAAGGAGCAAGAATTTTACTCTATTAGAAGGACTTTTAATGAAGCTGAAGTATTGGAGTGTGCTATTGGTGCAGAAACAGACAAAACGACCAAAACAAATAGAAAGCTCCAAGTTAGACTCTCACAAATATAAATCTTATACTGACTGGAAGCATGGTAGAATCAACAGTAGAAAAGACTTTGTAAAATGGAGACAACGAAAAAGAAATGAAGATAGGAAAATTGGATCTCTTCCTCACACCATGCACAAGAAAACCCTGTTTTATTCATCTTTTTCTTTCTTTCTTTTTTTTTTTTTTTGTGGTACTGAGGATTGAACTCAGGTCCTTACAAATACAAGGCAAGCACTCTACCACTGACCCACATCCCTAGCCCATCAACTCTTGTTTTGAGTGCCCTTAAACATTAGAACTTTTGATGTAGAAAACATTCAACTATGAGAAGGTATTTGTAACACAACTAATAGTAGATTGGAATCAAGTATATACACAGTTCTACAAATGAACAAGAATAAAGCAGACAACAGGAGAATGGGCAAAAGACAAGCAGGTCTTCCACAAAATTAGAAATACATAAGGGCCAATAGACATTAAAAATTTTTCACCTCTGTTAAGGAAACATGGAGACTGCAATGACACCTTTAAGTGTATTCAATTGGCAAAAATTAAGAAACCCAACAAAATCTAATTTTTAAAATTTCAGTCAATAGACTCATTTATTGCTTTTGGGAGTGTGAATTGATATATCCATTGTGAAAAACCATGCATTTGAGAGGCTGAACATTTGTATACTCATGGGTCAGCAAATCCTCTTCTAGGTATATTTTCAAAAGAAATAACTGTACAAAATGCCCCAGAATACATATGTAAGAATGTTCTGGAAAAAAATCCAGATATTTGTCTATAGAATAATATAATGTGTTCACTAAAGAACTGTTGCATGGCAACAAATGAATGAATTCCAGGTACTAGCAGCACAGTAACCTAACAGATGGAACAAAAAAGGCCACTCCCAGAAATCACCATGATGATTCTCTCATAAAGGTCAAAACCTACTACAACTACACAGCTGTTTAGACATACATATATATATATATGTATGTCTAAATATATGATAAAACCAAGGTAGTAACAAAGTTCAGGGTATCTTTGGGTGTGTGGGAAGAGACAAAGGTAGGAGAAAACAAATATCTGAGTAAGTCACCATTAATGTTCTAGTCCCTGGGTTGGGTTGTGGGTTCAAGAATGTTCATTTGTCATTAAAAGTAAATGCATGAATGAATAAGACACTTGGTGCTGTTACGAACCAAGGACTATGATTAGCTCATTTTGTATGCACCTACATTCCAAAACAAGACATAGCAGGAACTCTATGAATTGAATTTCAGAGAGAAGAAAGAAATCACATTTAGATCCTAGGTTTTTGGCTGGAGCTTTTGCTGCAGTTTATTCAAATGGAGAAATCTATGGATGGGGCAAATTTGATATGTGTGAAAAAGACAAGAGTTCAGTGTTTGACAGAAGTGACAGGCCCATTAAGCATCAGAGTGGGATGTTAAGTAGGTATTGGATATATGAGTCTAAATTCAATGATAAGCCAGGTCAGGAGATAAGTTTGGGAGTCATTAGCTAAAGGACCAGAGGAGCTGTAGGGGATACAGAAGTACATAGTAACTTGAGCCCTAAGTTACTTATGTCAGTGGTAAAAGTCCTCAGAGACAAATGAGGAACTGTTAGGAGCATTACTGCAAAAGAATTACTGTGTTAGTCAATTTATGCTTGGCAGATTATTTCTACACAGGATTTAACTGACAAGATTACTAATCCTAAAAAAGAGGAAGACTTTTGACAAGTCTTTATCTTGGTTAGAGCTGGGAGGGGACCTGACCTTATATAAAGGGCTCTAGATTGTGGGGAGAATCATTCAGCAGACTTACACTCTGGCCCAGACTTGGCTTTCCTAAAACATGGAGGTCATGAAGGTCACCACTTCTCTCTGGCCTCTGTAAAGACTGAATCAAGCGTTCTTCATCATCTCTCCCAGTCCTAAGACAATCACAGCCTTTGACTGAGTATGTACATTGAAAAAAAGAAAAAAAAATGTTTCTAAACATTGAGTTGTGGGAAGCCATTCTCGCACGTGATTTGAGTTACCTCTCTGGCTGGGTGAGAGGCGCTTAGACAACTGTGTCAGAGCCTTCACCACCCTGTCCCAGGTGTGAGGGCTTGTTCCTGTGGAGGTGTGCCTGGCCACTGACCCGAAGACCAGTCACTGACCCTGACCTTGGAATGCTGCCCCCCTCAACCTTCATTGGATGGGATTTTCCCTTGAATTTTTGTTCCCTAATAAAAGCTCACTCCCTGGTGTGTGTTCTCTCTCTCTCTCTCTCTCTCTCTCTCTGGCTAGCCTCTTGTGTTAACCTCGCCACGGCATTAGGTGGCTGGAGGCGGGAGCTAGGAGAAGCCGTCTCCGGAGCTGGGGATTAAAGGTAACGAGAATTATGTCTGTTTAATTTTAAAACTCACTAGTTAATTTTTATGCTTCGAACCTCTTTTATGAAGCTCGCGTGCTGGTCGCGTGGCAGATTGAGTCTTAGTTCTTAAATGAACTTGGAATCACAGATCCACTGACCACCATAACCACCGAATGGACCCCGTGTGTTCTTGTTTTGTGCATCCAGCATCTTAAAACAGATCTGCTTTTATCCAGAGATTTGTTTTCAAAAGCATTTTTTTTTTGTAGTGTTTTCCTCTAGCTGTGCTTTTTTTTTTTCCCCTAAAATACACACAAGAATCCAAAGCACTATGAATCTGTTTTTGTGCTAGTAAAAGGTTCTTCATTTTCTTCATGGAATGCAGCATGATTACCATCTCAACAGACAACTGGGTTTCTTGTCTTTTTATAGGTAGACAAATAGTAGTGGGTATGACTTTTGTACAGGCTTTCTAGAAAGCGAAAATTCCTCCTCGCTAAATTCATTCATTCTCTACACAGTTGAGAGGCTTGGAGGTGCTACTCTAGGTGGGGATACAGCATTGAACAAGATAGGCGAGATTCCAAGGCTCATGGAGCTCTGCCTAATGAGAAATGGACAACGAATTTTAAAAGATGGGGTAAATGTGGTATAGGTACTTAAAATAGGGTCCCAGGCTAGAGAGGGAAATGAAAGATGACTTCAGATTTGGTGGTCAATAAAAGAAATATTAGGAGGTGACATTTTAAGCCAGGCTTCAAAAAGCTGGGCCCAGTCATGTGGGGGAAGAGAGCAGGGAGAACATTCTGAAACTGCTGTAAAGTTCCTATGGAGGCAACATGCCTGACATATTTAAAAAATGTGGAAGAGGGGCTGTGGCTATAGCTCAGTGGTAGAGCGCCCGCCTAGCACGTGTGAGGCACTGGGTTTGATCCTCAGCACCACATAAAAATAAATAAAGAAAAAAAAATGTGGAAGAGTCCTGGAGTGCAGTCGGTGTTAGAAGAGTGGTCAGAAAAAGTAGGAGAAGTGGACAGGGGTCAGACCAAGTAGATCTTTATAAGCCAAGGTTGGGAATTTGGAGTTTTCTGTGACAGCTCAGATGACAGTTCTGCA